CCATTGGTTAAAACTGTATGGATTTGGAAAATTTCCTAGAGAGATTTTTTTCCAACATCCAAACTCCTGATATCCCCATTTCAGCCACAAGGAGGACAAACAAATAATTGTGGATGTTTATAAAAGATATAAGTTAAAGGAACAGAAGCGATGTATACGTTTTCTACACTATAAAGTTATAGGGGGATGCCACTGTCTTTTTAAAAAATCAAATACATGTAAGAATGATACTTTAAAGAATAAAGCTTTTCTTTTAAACCCCCAAATGGAAAATATGATCCAAATCTGCTCTTTGTGGGATGGCTTTCTTAAATAAATGATCAGAAGGATGAGTGATGGGGCCATAAGTAAATCTAGTGACTATAATAAAGCAAAGTTGGACTGCTTTATGGTGTCACTGGAAACCCTTGGATATATTTATAGCTATGTTAACAGTCACCTGTATTTTTTCAGGACTTTTATTTCACTTCACATTATAAGAGTTTAGTTGTTTGTTTTTCTTCTCCTTCTTCCTACACTTACCTTTGGAACCTTGCATAGAGAGAGAAAATAAGGGTGTCTGCACTTAGTATTTGGAAAAAGAGGGTCATTACCTAAGAGCTTAGGGTTTGCACAGAGACAGACTGGTGCTTTCTGTGTCTGCGTGGTCATGTTAGATGAGCCTGCGACAAACAACTTGGCAGGTGTCTCCTGCTGGCAGTGAAGTGGAAAGTCAGAGTCTATACAAGTGAGAAGAGGCATGTGACGAGACAAAACATACTGTGAGAGACTGACAGGCAACTTCACGTTCAGTTCCTGGCACCTGATACTATTAAGTACTATCATGAGGCTTATTGTAGAAGCCAAAAGATGCTCCAGACTACTTCACAGTAGAATACAGATAAAAGCAAGACAAAGAGGGTCAGCTAGGTAAGGATGCTCCTCCCTCATCATGGGACAGTTTCCTGGGAGGTCGGGTGGATGGAGGAGATTTACAAAGCAGGGGAAGACGATCTATGATACCACAGTCTGAAGTCTGGAATCAGAGAAACCAGCTATAAACCAGCCAAATCCAGTTGCAGTTTTTTGTTTGTTTCTTTGTTAATCTTCACCTAAGACTATTTTTTCTATTGATTTCTAGAGAGAGTGGAAGGTAGGGATGGAGGGGAGAGAGAGAGAGAGAGAGAGAGAGAGAGAGAGAGAGAGAGAGAGAGAGATGGTTGCCTCCTGCACAAGACCCAACCAGGATCAGGGATTGAACTGCAACCCAGGTATGTGCCCTTGACTGGGAATTGAACCTGCCACCTTTCAGTGCTCGGGCCTATGTTCTAACCACTGACCCACCCTGGCCAGGGCCAGTCTCTCTCTCTCTCTCTCTCTCTCTCTCTCTCTTAACTGCATTCCCTTCAGAAACTTCAAGTTCCACAAAGTCTGGTTAGGATTTCTGGACCTACCTATTGTTCCTGTGAAATTTTTCAATTTTAAATTTGTGGTGACCATAATGTTTCCAATTTCTCTTTCTTTCCACCTTAAAAGTGGGTTTACATCTTCATCTTGTAGCTGCACATTTCATTCCCAAGTATTCTCACTCCAGGACCCACTAGGGAAGATGACCCAGGAGGAAAGGGGGCTGCTTTTGATGGTAGTGCAGCTGATGACAATCCTTCAGCTGAACTCCAGGTGCAGCAGTGTTTAGAAGGTATAGCTTGAACTAAATCTAAAAAATACATATATTGAATAAGGCATCCTAATGTAAACTCTAATAGACCTTAGAAGAATGGAAATTTGAAAAAGAAATCTAGGTAGGAATGCGTTGACTAGAGGAAGAGAGAGGAGGGATAAGAAACAAATAGAAGCAAGAAATCAACAGTGTGTTAAATGGAGAAGGACATGGGTCTTACCAGGATAACTGCAGGTTATCTCTTTGGAGTGGAAGGAGGAAAAAATAAACCAGTCTTGTATTTGCCCTTTGATAAGTTTTCTCAGTATTCAACTGGGTCCCCAAATGGAATTAACCTTTACTGGAATTCACAGCTACTTCCTTTGACAATTTGCAAAAAGTAAATAAATAAATTATAAGTGTGACAAGTGAAATGAATAGCTCCAGCTGTGACACACCAGCAGCATTTCCCGATTTTGTACTGCATAAAAGATGTATTTTCACTTTGTTGCCTAGCAGAGAATTAATTGGAAGGTCCATCAAAGTTTCCCATACGTCCTTGGGACACAGAGAGTGTCTCCAACATACAGTGCCAATTGAGAAAAGAAGAGCAATGTTACATGGGTAGGTGGTCAACTTGTCAACTCTGGGGATGTGTATCTCTGGGGACCCATGTCACTAAAGCCAGATTAATCCATCTGTGAACCTAATGATATAAGAACATGTGCATATGAGATTGGCAGTTGATTTGTTGGATTAATTCATTGAGGAAATACTTACTGAGCTCCTGCTATGTGCTACCCACTCTGCTACATACAGAAGATGGGGGGGGGGGAGACAAAAGTTCTGCTTTCAGGGGGATTGCAATCTTTTTGAGGAGTTAGATTATGAACCAACATATAAAATAATTTCAGAAAGTCGAGAGCACTGTGAAGGAAATAGGACAAGGTACTGAGATAAAGTACCTTTCAGGGCTGACATAGCTGACTTTTGATAAAGGCCAGAGAGGGTCTCTGAAGAGGTGACATCTGAAATGAACCAATCACATGAAAATCTTGGCGAAAAGTCTTTCAGACAAGAGGAGCCAGCAAGTATAAGGGTTTGGAATTGGGAAATAACTTGATGCATTCTAAGAATAGAAAGAGGGTGTGGGAGACTGGAGGGTAGTAAGGGGCCATCTGGCAGAAGATGAGTTGGAGAATTAGGTATAAACCAGGTCATCTGAGTTCCCTTAAGACCATGATATGGAGTTTGAATGAGTCCAAAGCACAGTAGGACTCCATCTGGAGGACTAACGGAGAGGTTGGTTTGAATGGGAATTATCATCTTACCTTAAGGGAGAATCCTTAGGATAAGATTCCTACCACCCCGCCCCCCCAACTTTTCTACTAATAATAACATAAGACCCTAATCTACTTAACCTTCTTGGAGTTCTTAGCTTATTTTTATATTGAACAAAGAGTACTGCCACTCTGTCAGGTGCTAGGCCAGATGCAGTGTATATGTTATCTCATTTAAAACTCCCAAGAACCTCATGAGGAAAGGCATTACCTATGTTTTACAGAGCAAGACACTGAGGTTTAAATCGAGTCTCCAAAAATGACCCCTGTGACTTGCTGTGGTGTTTCTGGGTACATGGTGCTGGTTTAAGACATAGTGTTTCTTGGCCGTCACCCAAGGGCATGGAAGACATTGAATGGGGGATCCTGGATGGATCTCCTATGGATCACCTGACAGATGAGAGCCAGAGGAGTTGGGATGACTGTGCACCATTTACCACAGACAGCATGGACCTTTGGGAGAATATTTATTTTAGAACTAGAATACAAAGTCACCACCATAAATCTGAAATGGATTTGAGATTTGACCTTGGAGACAAATCATCAATAGGTTTTGGTATCTTTATCTGTTAGAAAGACATATAGTGCTAACTTGCGCAGTCTCTGTTTGGAGTGTCACAAGGATGAAAAGAAGTGTCTTAATCTCTGTTCTTTATTCTCAGTTACAGGGTTTGAAATGTTCTTGAGAGCAGGAGTATAATAGGTGCTATAAGCTCCTTTTAAAAAAAGAAATGCTATATATATATGCTATATATATATATGTTTTAAGAAGCAAGTGTCATCTAGTATATATGATTTAACCAGCAAGTATTATTCCCTCTGCCTGCTGCCAAAAAACATAATGTGCTTTTTTAAACCAAGGTGAGTGTGAAGGAAGGAGTCAAAGCTAGCAAAACCCCTGGGTCTAGGAGGGCTGCCTGTTGGGTTTGTGCTTCTAGCACATCAAGTAGAGTGGAAGAAGGGGGGTGGGGTGAGGTGGAAGCCACCTGTCCCGAATGTCACAGTTCCCTGACAGAACCCTGGTCAGCGTCCTCCTGGAGTCACAGATGGCCATGACAGGAGCGCCAAGCTCTTTCTTCCACTCCTGCTCCCCCTTGCAGGTTCAGCCTGGATGAAAAAGCTGTGCTTTCTTTGTTGCCCAGTGTCCTGGAGGCCTGGAGGCTTCATCCATCTGGGGCATGGTCTCTGAGGAAAGTCCTGACCGGGGTGCCACTCCTCTTCCTGCCAGCAGACTCAGTCCTCACCCCTTCTGAAGTTCTTTGACCACGGAACAAAGGACTAGGGGTTAACTTCTGGTTCCTGAATTCCAAGAGCTTCCTGTTCACCTGGGGTGGAAACTACTTTCTCCAAGGGCCCCAGGCCACCAAACCTCTCACCCTCAGGAGTCCCTGGGGCCACATCTGCACAGAGAGCCAGGAGAAATGTTCCCATCATTTGCTCCTAGGGTTAGGGCCTTGGGCGTATTATTAACCCCCTGGAGAGGCACCTGCAAGGAGAGCGGGCACTGGGTGCTGACCAAGGTGCTGACCGCCAGGCTAGGGGGAGCAGTGAGGGAGGCACCATTGCCTGCAGTCGCTCCAGCACTCCTGCTGACTCAAGGGGTTTATTTTTATTTCTATTTGGGGCTACTTCAGCCTCAGCCTTTGCCTGCATTTTTCTTTCCGAATTGTAGAATTGTAAAAGGTGCCTTAATCGTGAGAGTTTGGCTGAACGTGCCTGGGAGAGGAGGAGGAAAGGGTGATAAAAAGGCGCAGTGTCTCTGTATGCCTGTCTCTCAGTCTCTCCACATACACATTCACACACGTGCACTAGCTCACGGTGCCGGGAGGGAAGCTGAGCGCCCAAGGGGGTGTGGGGTGGGGGGCAGCGTGCGGGAGGCTCCAGGGTGTAGATGAGCTAGCGTACTTGAATGGGGAGGGCTGGGATTCCGGGTGCTCGGCCCCTCCTTCCTCCGGAGCCAGCCAGTCCCTCGGCAGAGCGCTCGGGCTGCACTGATTTGCTCTCGGGAGTGCGCTATTTGCATATGACTTGCCCATTTGTGAATTTGGCTCCCCAACTCCTCGCTTCACTTCACCTGTGCCTCCCAGTTCTGTGCACTTTGCTGGCGCCAGCCTGCCTCTCGGCCACCTCTGCTGCCTGCGGGCACCTCCTCTCTGGCTCTCCCTGCTGGCTCACCCACCTCTCTCTGCCCTGTGCCACGTTGGTTTGGGTGGCTGCTCTGCGCTGGGTTCCTCTTCCTCTCCTCTTGCTCTCTGGTCCTCCTTGTTCTCTTCCTCCGGCTACGACTGCTGCTGCTGCTACTGTTTTTCGTCCAGTTGGGAAACCCGGGAAGCAGGCGGAGGCTCCGCGGAGCTCTTCCAGAAAGTGCAGGGTTAACAGCCTCAGTGCCCTTCCGCCAAGACTCCGAGAAACACGAGAAGAACTCTCCCACCTGCAGCCCCCTTTTGCTTTCTGTTCTGCATTGCATCGCTTCGAAGTGGGAAAAGGAAAAAAAAAATGTTCAAACTGCTTGGATGTTGGGATAAACTAACCTGAACCTACTTGGGTGTCCTGCCGCCTCCTCTTCTTCCTTCATTTCCACCTTTCCTCTATGTGGCTCACCGGAGTGTGCAGTTAAGCCATCAGACCTGAGGTGCCTAGAGATCAGGAGGAAGCCGAGGGCCTCCCCTGACATGTTTGGCATTACAGGGCTCCCTAGGAGGGTTACTATACCTGGGTGGACTTTGGCATCCTAAATTTAAGCCCCGGAAAACGGGGGCTTTTGCCTTCTCTCTTATTATTTTTTTAAATAGTATCTTTTTTTTTTTTTTTTAACTGATTCATCACCTGTTTAGAAAGCGCTTATTCCTCCCCTCTTTCCAAAATTCGGACAAGTCTTCCTCCTGCTATGATGGGCCCCTGGGCATCATGAACTTCATTATTCCTCACAGGCTGGAATTCAAACTGCCCATCTGTAGTGGTCCAGTGCGTTGACCATGCACCTGAGAATCCACCCAAGACGGAGCCCTCCCCGCCGGCCGGCCTGGACGCTTGGGATCTGGTCCCTCTTCTGGGGATGTATCATCAGCTCTGTGTGGAGTTCCTCTAATGTAGCTTCCTCCTCCTCCTCCTCTTCCTCGCCGGGGTCTCACTCTCCGCAGGAGCACCATTCCCATGGCAGCAAGCATCACTCAGTGCCTATTTCTATCTATCGTTCCCCTGTTTCCCTGCGAGGAGGGCACGGTGGGTCTTTCTGCTCTTTATCCTTTTAATGGGGCATAGAAATTCCTTAACCCACTCGCCTTTCAGGTAATGTCCAGGGTGGGGAGAAAATAAAAACTTGAAAATGATGAAAAGTATAGCATGTGCATGAGGGAAGGGAATGTCCAGTTTCCCCTTAAACACTAATGCTAATGTTTTTTGCCTCAGCCCCCCAATTTTCTCTAATGGATTCTCCTCTCCTTAGCTACCCAGAGCTGCATCAACACCACATTCTCCCCGTTTGCAGCTTTGCACCCTTCCACCTCCTTCACCGCCCCTCCCCTATGGTGGCAGGAACTTCAGATAAGTCCCCGTGCTGCACTTTGAGAATTCACTCATTCACCTTGCTTTCACCCTTCTCTCGGATTCTGTTTGGGAGCTAATAGTGGGGAAATAGCAGGCAGCAGGAATTCTTAGATCTTCAGCTAGAAGTTGTTTGAACTGCTGGAAAGTGGCCTGTGTGGTAAAGGTCAAGAGGGAGAGTAGCTGAAGGCAGAAACTATAATTAATAACCAGTGGCCATTGTTGTTCATCTGGACAGCTTTATGTGTGTCCACATGTGTGCTAGGGAGATCAGCCATCGTAAAAACTGCACATCGAATATCGCTATCTATCAGAGAGGAAGCGGTCTATAGACAAGGCAAAGTCCATTTATAATTGACCCAAGTGTAAATTATAATAATGTTGATTTCACCATTTATGCAAATGTTATTTCAATTAAAGATAGCATGGATGGGCTTGTTCACACAATACAAGTTTGCTGTGTTTTGCTCCAAACCTTCCTTGCCTAGCTATTGAAAGAAGAGGTGTAAGCTTTTAAATGTATATTCGGCTCTGTGCAGGCTGCCTTGGAAAGGGTGATGTCTGCCTCTAAGGTGGGAGCTTGCTGTAGTAAAACGTTCTAAAGAGAGCTTCATTATTTGTTTACTATGCACTCCACTCCAATGGCGAGGAAAGGAGGAATCACAGAGCCTGACTACAGGAACAGCCCTCCAGGGAGCAGCAGGAGTGAACTACACCAGAGGTCCCCTGCCCTAGCTTGTATTTTGAAGACCTACAGCACGCAGACCCCATTCAGAACATCAGTTCTCCCCACTGCCTCCTAGCCCTGGGCTTCTGCTCTGTGCTGTCTGTAGCGTTAAGTGGAAGCATGTTGAGAAATTGCCAGCACGTATTCTAGCTCTTTCTGGCTCTCTCTTTAAATTTCATTTGATGGAGTTGTCAAACAGCTCAGAGCTTGTAAGGTTGGTGGCGGAGGGTGGTGGGGAGGAGGCAATGCTTGATCTTGATCTGGTTGCTGTTTGCTCTGTGACTCCTGCTGAGGATGGTGTAGGCTTTCTTTCAGAAGCAAAGCACCCCCCTCCCCCAATCAAACAAACAAAAATCCTTGGAAAGGAAAGAAACACAACCACCAAAAAAGCTAAAGCAATTTCATTGATATGGAAACTGTTAGCTCCAAGGGGGAACAGGGACTGGGAGTGGAGGTGAGATTATAAAGAGTGGGAAAGAAAAGCAGGAAGTGGGGATGGAGGAAGCCAGACTGACTGTTACTAATAGTCATGGTTAAACATGGAGGCACTCAGCAATAATTAGCTAAATTTTGCTAATTAGTATAAATGATCAGCAGGGAGATGAAGATTATGCATTAGTTAGAGGGTGTAGGCTGGCAGAACCTGGATGTTTCCTGTTCAGGATATAAACAGTTAAAGCAGCTAGGAGTTAAGTGATGGAATTTACTGAGCTCTACTTCCCAGGGGTTCCTAAATCTGTCCAGTCTCTCTCTCTCTCTCTCTCTCTCTCTCTCTCTCTCTCTCTCTCTCTCTCCCCCCCGCCCCCTCCACCATTGGTGTTGGGTGTTGGGTGTTGCCTAGGCTAAACACAACACTTCTCTAATCCACTTCATTTCTCCAAGCATCCATTAGCTCACCATTTGCTCAGTACCCTCTAAATCTTTTTGACTGGTTCCCAGTCTCCCCGTCTGATTTCTCATTAACCTGCATCTGATAAGGTTCAGTATGATGGGAAAGAAGAACATAGCAAGTAATTGACTAGAGGTCCCAGAAAAGGCCCCCAGATCCATCAGAGCTATAGGATGCAGTAAACTCCGGGTCTGCAGGGCTAAGATAGGAACACTCATGAGTTCAACTCTTCAGGATCCTCTTTCAATCCTAAAGTCCCATCCCATTGATTGGTTGGGTCTTGGAGACTGAATGCATCTATATTAAGTAGGCTCCTTACATATTTAATTAGTGTTTTTTGAGCTCGAAATCAAGAGAAGCGGTGCTCAACAAAATACACCAATCTTTGATTTCAATTCCCCATCCAAACGGGGACCTTTTGAGTTCTGAAAGAACCAGGAGACTCTCAGTGCTTTGTTAATGTGTCTCTCATTCTTCCTGGAAGTACACTTGCTTTCCTTTAGTCCAAGACAAAGACTTTGCTAACAGCAGTTGTTTTAAAAAATCTTTTGGATGGAGGTGGTAGGAGGCATAGCACCATGAGACTAATGGTTGTTACAAATAGTTTTCTGCCAACGTTATTCCAGAGTTAAAAGCAGCAGTCTCTATTGTCTGTGAAGTAAATGCCCTTCATTCTGAGGCTTGAGTCCAAGAACTTTCTTTGGACTGAAGAGAAAATTTTCATTTTATTTTCCTGTTCCCCTTGCTCATTTCCTGAGCAGCCAAATCCTCAGAGTTGCTGTTTAAATCAGTTTACGCCCTCTGCTTCCGATCCATTCTGCCCTGTAGTGGGATTCACACTGAGACAGACAGAAGTAACAGACATTCTCCAAACAGCTTTTACCAGCTTGGTTCTAATCTTTAGATAATTATGTATAGATTTGCCTATAGTCTTTATCACAGGGCACCCTAGAGAAGGCTGAGCTCCTTTATGTGTTGGGGAGACAAAGCCACACTGGCCTGAGGCACCCAAAATAGTCTCAGGTTAGGACTGTGTCTCAGGAGAGAATTAACTCTCATCTTAACTGGAATCTGGTAAACTTCTTCCCATTGGTCAGCTCCTTCTCTTGGGTCCTCTGCTTTCTTTTGTGATCTATTCAATAGTCACTCAATCAGCATTTATTGAGTATTTACTATGTACCAGTCTGTGTGCTATTTGCTAAGGATAGAAAACTAAATAAGACATGGTAGTGTTCAGCTAGGGATAATTTCAGAAGTATTTTGATCATCTAAAATAAGTGCTTCAGTAATTTAAAAAAAAAATGGGGGGGGGAGGGGGGGATCTGGATATCCGACCATATTAATTAATATAAAATCCAAATATCCTTTATAAAATGAAGATTTACATTTTTCTGTTATTCAAAATATCCCTACAGGTATTTTTTCACCCTTGACTTTATTACCATGAATAAATATCATGCTTATCAAAGCTCCTAGGTAGTGGTACGGGACACATGAAAATGAACATACATATGTTTACTAACCTCCAGTTTTGTCATAGAGTTTTGTGTATTTGTTTTCCTCTCACCTGCCTTTAAGAAGTCCAATGACCCTCTGCCTAAAAACAAATGCTTTAATACTTATAGTTTGGAAAACAGGTTTCTCTAAGGATCCTAGGTCTAGTATGTGTCTTACATTTTATCCTCCATAATATAATAGGCTTCCCTGGCTCTAGGCATTTGGGGGAATTAGTAGAGAACAGAACCCAACTTTAAAGGGAAAACACCACAATATATTTAGAGGGAAGACTCTTGCTCAGAAACAAGGGACTGTGTGTGGGGGCACATAAGTCAGATCTGAATGATCTTAGCAGAAGTGGTGGTGGTCCCCCTTATGGCACATCAGCCAGGAGCCCTTCTTATAAGGACTTAGACTTCTCATTCACTGTCCTAGACGACCAGCTAACTTTTCCCATCCATGGAGCTAGTGTTGCTCTGATCTACTAAGCATTTTCTTCTGCTCAGCCGGCTGCCTTCTAACCACTCTCTCTCCCCCTTCCTTCTTGGGATTCAGTTGGCTGAATAATTCATAGTGTTGGTTGACAGATACAATGATAAGATTTATATGCCTTTGGCCTTGGTGATAAATTAATTAAATTGGTTTCTCCCTCTCTCTCTCCTCTAGATGCATTGTTTTTCTTCTCTAAAATGTTCTGGCAAGTAGTAGGTCTGGAGATTAACACGTTCTTAATAAACTATCATAGGAAGTTGATAATATTGTAGTGTAGATTTCTTCAGCACTTCCAACATAAATCACTGGTTGGGGTGGAGGCGAGGTATGCCATATCTTAGGGACAAGAGATGAGATCGTCGGAACCATTCTTATCAGGGTGGGGGGGGAACCAAACTGACCAACAGCTGGAATTCCATTGTAAGAATTTTATTCCTTTATTGTCTGATTTTGAATCTGGAAGAGGTAATATATTTTATTTTACATTTTAGTGAATTAATTTATCAGGTCTCAGAAAGTTTGCTTTGCTGGAAGCCTGGGTAATCTGGGAGAACCAAATGTCTGAAGATAAACCATAAACTTATTCATATTTCCCTCCCTTTATTAGTTTGTTAGGACTGTCATAAAAAAAAAATCATAGCCTGGATGGCTTAAACAACAGACATTTATTTTCTCAGAGCTATGAAGGCTAGAAGTCCAAAATTATGGTGTTGGCAGATTTGGTTTCTCCTGAAATCTCCGTCCTTCACTTGTAGATTGACACCTTCTCATTCTGTCTTTTTTTTTTTTTTTTTTAAGCTAATATTATATATTTTTATCCTCACCCGAGGACATTCTTGCATTTATCTTCAGACAGAGTGGGAAGGAGAGAGGGAGGAAGAGAGAGAGAGAAACATCGACGTGAGAGAGGCACATCAAGTGGTTGCCACCCACACGACCCCAACCAGGGCCGGGGAAAAACTGCAACCGAGGTACGTGCCCTTAGCGGGAACCGAACCCAGGTCTCTCTGGTTCGCGGACCAACACTCTAACCGCTGAGCCAAGCCGGCCAGGGCCTCATTGTGTCTTCATGTG